AGATGATATAAATAGAGATAGATAGATAGATAGATAGATAGATAGATAGATAGATATAGATAGATAGATAGATAGATAGATAGATAGATGAATAACAAACTTAGATAGATAGATAGATAGATAGATAGATAGATAGATAGATAGATATGAAGAGACTGAAACAGATAGATAGATAGATAGATAGATAGATAACAAACTTAGATAGATAGATAGATAGATAGATAGATAGATAGATGAACAAACTTGAATAAATTGAGAACAAACTTGAATAGATAGAATAAATAGAGAACAAACTTGAATAGATAGATAGAAAGATAGATACATAGATAACAAACTTGAATAGATAGATAGATGAACAAACTTGAATAGATAGATAGAGAACAAACTTGAATAGATAGATAGAAAGATAGATACATAGATAGATAACAAACTTGAATAAATAGATAGATAGATAGATAGATAGATAGATAGATAGATAGATAACAAACTTGAAGAGATAGATAGATAGATAGATAGATAGATAGATAGATAGATAACAAACTTGAATAAATAGATAGATATATAGATAACAAACTTGAACAGATAGATAGATAGATAGATAGATAGATAGATACTACGCAATTTTATTATTATATTTTTTCCAATTTCCGGACAGCATTGTATTCTTACATAGCCAGCAAATACAGACCCTCTCTCGCAAGTTGACTTGTCACTTGTCAAAACTTAGTCCAATTCATATATTGATCATCAATCATAAACACCAAAATAAAACTATTACTTGATACAAATAAAATTTATTAGATAACACACATAAACACACACACACACATTCATATATATATATATATATATATATATATATATATATATATATATATATATATATACAACAATATACATTTTTTATATATCAAGAATAGTTTTGATTTGAGACGTTTGAGAAAGTAGAAAAAAGTTTTCGTCTGCTGCGTTTCGTCCCTTTGTCCTTCATCGAATTAGGATTATTTAAATTGATACGACTAAAGGCATCCCCATTCGCCGCATTGTTTCAGGAATAGGCAGCCTCCCACCTACAAATTTGCAAAATCCATAACAAAAATTTTAACCCCACTCCATGGAATAATTAATCCATTACGTATAAAAAAAAATTCAGGCAAGCTAGCTGAAAAAATAAGCGAAACAAATATGGCTGACAAACTCATGGCCAGTCTAGATATAAAATCACTTTACACTAATGTCCTGGTTGAAAAATGCTTAAATCACTTAAAAAAGCATCCAACAAAATCAAAGATATACCTTTTCCTACCAATCGATAAAATAATAAAAATCTGCCGTCTCATCACCAATCAATGTTATTTTTCTTTCAATAACAATTTTTACAAATAAAAATTTGGATTACCGATGGAATCCCCTCTCAGTGGTGTGATAGAATGTATTTTCTTGGAATTTCTCGAGTCTAGATTCTTTACAAAATATTTTATCAAACAATCAACTTACTATTAATATTTAATATTGATGATGCTCTATTAATATATCCACGTGATACTATTATATATAAACTTAACAATGTCGAACACACAATAGAATTTACATACGAAATGGAAGAAAACAATATTTTACCTTTCTTAGACATCATGTGACACCGAGTTGACAACAGCATAGAACTTAGTGTCCACCGAAAATCAACCAATAAAAATGACCTAATAAACTTCTATTCCCAACATAACAACAAAATAAAATCTGGAATGATCACTGGATTCTATTTAAGAGCACTCAGAGTATGCGGCCCTTAATATTTACGCGAAGAGGAAAAATATATTGAAAATGCATTCAAGACCATTCAATACCCTAAGTTTTTCATATTAACCTCTCTCCTTGGTCCATCATATATGAAAAATTCGGGCAACCTTGTTGAAAAACTAAGGAAATTAAATATGACAAACTCATGGCCAGTCAAGATATAAAATCACTTTACACATACAATATCCCGGTTGAAAAATGTTTAAAACTCTTAAAAGCATCCAACCAAATCAAAGATAAACCTCTTCCTACCAACAGCTAAAATAACAAAAATCTGCCGTTTCATCACTCATCAATGTTATTTCACAATTGATAATAATTTTTATTAACTAAAATTTGGAGAAGGGTTAAAAGTTTTGCTACGCTTCTAGCTATTTTGTGGCGGGAAGGATTCTGTCTATTCCAAAAATGATGGGGCGTATAGCGATACCAGTTTTGTTGGTCTTAGGGAGACTATAAAGTTTTGATGTTCTAGGGAGATTTTCTACGATTTATTTTCATCTTTAATTTGTTTCCTTGTTGAATATTCGTGATTCAGTAGTGATTCTTGTTCGTTTATTTTTTCGTATGTGTCGGTATCGTTGAGTAGTGAGTTAATTTTTCTATGTATCTATGATTGTTCATAATTACAATCCCACTTCCTTATCAGAGCGACTAATGTGGATTACATGATATCTGGCTAGGTTCTTTAGTGCATTTGGGTGACTCGGTGGTAATGTATTTTCGTTATTGGTTTCTATAGTAGCAGTGATAATGCCTTGAATAAAACCTTTTCGTTTTGATTGTGAATTATTGCTATAATGTCCATTCCCATCATTGCAACAAAATAAAATCCATAATGATCTTTGGATTCTATTTAAGAACACTCAGAATACATTTTAACTAAACAATCAACTGACTTCCATTATATTGATGATGTTCTATTAATATATCCCCGACATACTTATTTACCTGTTCTTGTAGATAAACTAAACAAAGTCGAATATACAATGGAATTTTCATATGAATTTCTCCAATCTGCTTTTTTTCCAAAATATTTTAACTAAACAATCAGATGACTTCCATTATATTGATGATGTTCTATTAATATATCCCCGAGATATTTATTTACGTGATCTGGTAAATAAACTAAACAAAGTCGAACGTACAATAGAATTTACATACGAAATGGAATATTTTACCTTTCATAGACATTATGCTACATCGCGTTGACAGTAGCTTAAAACTTACTTTCCATCAAAAATCAACCAATAAAAAATATCTTATAAATTTCTATTCCCATCGTAACAACAAAATAAAATCCGAAATGATCATTGGATTCTATTTAAGAGCACTCAGAATTTGCAGCCCTCAGTATTTACATGAAGAGAAGAAATATACTGGAAACACTTTCAAGACTTTTCAATGCCCTATTTCACATTCAATGCGAAATAAAAGGTTCATAAAATAAAAAAAATATTTTGCCTACACAATCAACATACTTCCGCTATATTGATGATGCACTATTAATATATCTCTGGGATACTTTTTTACCTGACCTATTAGATAAACTAAACAAAGTCGAACATAAAATGGAATTTAAATACGAATTTCTCAAATCTACTTCTTTCCAAAATATTTTAACTAAACAATCAACTTACTTCCGATATACTGATGATGCTCTATTAACCTTAGAATACTAACCATGGGTATATAGTACCCAGCGCAAATTTTCCTATTTTTAATTACAATTTTCAGTACCTGATTTTCTTACCTAAATAATGTTTTTCAGTTCCTATTAATGTTAACTCAAAGTACAAGGTTTGAAGCGCCTGCGTGTAAAATATTTCAAATAAAATTTTATATTTTTTTTCATTTATTTATTTAATTATTTTGTTTATTTTTATTTTTATTTTTTGATATTTTCAAAATCGGGTATGATATACCCATGGTTAGTAGTGGTGTAACTTTAATTTATGGTTAGTGTTCTAGGGTTAATATATCCACGACATAGTTATTTACCTGTTCTTTTAGATAAACTAAACAAAGTCGAACATACAATACAATTTATATACGAAATGAAATAAAAGAATACTTTACCTCTCATAGACATCATGTTATATCGCGTTGATAGTAGCTTAAAACTTACTTTCCACCAAAAATCACGCAATAAAAATGATCTCATAAACTTCTATTCTCATCATAACAACAAAATAAAATCCGGAAGAATCACCAGATTCTACTTAAGAGCACTCAAAATTTGCAGCCCTCAATATTTACACGAATAGATGAAATATATTGAAAATACTTTCAAGAACATTCAATATCCTACCTATCTGCTATTCAATACGAGACAGAAGGCTCATAAAATATTCGAAAATTAAAAAGTGGTCTCTCCTGGCAAACCTAGAAATCAAAAACTTATGTTGTTCTATCTGCTAATTCTACACAACTACAATCGAAAAGAATTTATCTGAATTCAACATAAAATTTGTCACAACTAAAACAATGAAAAATCTTTATCAATAATTAATACCCTGATGATCGCAAAAACGTAAAACCAAGCGTCACAAACTCATATCCATACAACTTATTGTATATACATAAATATATATGTGTGTGTGTGTGTTATAGCTTTATAGGACTCACTGCAATGAAAAATTCATAATTTTAGATCCAATTCTAATGGAAAAGACACAACCCAAATTAAATAAAATATATTTCTCCCTGAGAGATGATATATTGACGGGTTTATAAGATATTTAATATGCATATCATATATTTAGAATGCATACAAAAATAAGACGTATAAATATTTGATACATGCTTTTAACCATTAAATATGACGTCAATTTGATCTGATTCAAATTCCAACGATCTAGAAACGGTAACATTTATTAAAAAAAAAGTTGCTTACCATAGTGACAACACCCAGTTCTTGATAATGACTAAGATAATCAAAACTACTTGAATCAAACAGGGACAGAATCTATACTTTCGAAAGTTTATTCATAATTTTATATATAACTGAAAAAAAAAATGTAAATGTATATTTTTTAAAGATTAATATTGGTCGACAAAAAAGAAAAGGCGTTTTTGTTATTTGTAAAATTTCTGCATTTGAGTCTGCATTTGTGTCTGCATTTGAGTCGGGCTCAAAATCTTTTTCTGTGTGAGGGATGTTAATGTTTTTAACCCTTTCAGCTTAATATTTTTACGATTTTCTTGTTCAGTATCCCGATAAATGAATTTAATGGGTAGTTGAATCCCTTCTGTTGACTGCTGTTTTTCCATGTGCGACGTTGCATTTTCATCTCATTATAATGATATAAAACTTTAAATAAACCCGTACACTTCCAAGCCGGCTTTATTGATTGAGAGAGCAATTAATTTAAGCTTTTCATAATCTACATCAAATGGCTATTTAAGTGAATTTTGATCTTTTCGTTTCCTCAAGACGCAATTCTATTATTTCATCGCTTTTAAATAACTGTAATATAGTCTCCTTGGAAGGGTAATTTTCTTCATTGACCTCGCGTAGGAATTCTCCTCCTGAAATTAAGATTGTTCTCTATTTATCACATTTGGACATAATTTGAACCCAAATGTACCTCATCTGATACGCTAATTAGAAAAATATAATAAAAAAAAACTAAATAGAGATATCATGCCGGTTGAATTTACCAAATCCTAAAACCTGTTTGGATAGATTCCTGCTGCCTAAAGACACTATATATATATATATATATATATATATATATATATATATATATATATATATAGTCATCCACGTACAAGACTGTTTCGCTGTATCATAGTTAATCAGTATGGCTA